GGTGCAAAGAAGATATGGCCTATTAGGGAAATAATTTTTATTCTAGGGAATGGGAAGAACAGGGAGGGCTTAGGTATCTAGTGCTGTTAAAACAGAAATACAACAAATAGATTGCTTAAACAGACATGCATTTAGACACAGTTTAGTAGATCAGAAGTTGAAATTCGGGGTCCCAGCTCTAGAGGAAAAGTTTTTTCTCTCCATTAGCTCTGGGAGCAGGTCCTAACTTCTTTTGTTCTCCTTGCATGGCCCATGCCTCCAATCTTCCCCAGGGTCTACCAGGTTCTCAGCTCAGAAACCTCGGGGTGCAGAGGACAGGCTCAGTCTCTGGTTCTGCCTTGGTGGTACTGCGGTCTCTTTAGTCTCTACTGCCTTATGTGATCTCTTTTATATGTCAAAAGGATATGAAATTGAGTTAAAACCCAATCTTGCAGAGTGCACCCTACATCATGAACATAACTGCTTCTAATTCTGTTGTATTAGTATAATAGTGGTTATTTTCCAACACTTGGACCAAGGGGTCACGACCCACAGGTCCAGAACCACTGCTCTAACCTATAGTGACCATGGAGGATAGGGAAATTTTTCCATGCCCTTTTTTGGAGTTTCCCTTGTATGTATATGAGAATTACAGGCCAACAAGCAATATATTATGTTCAATCAATTTCTTAGTTATTTGGTGCCTTTTTGTCTATGCTAATTTTTAAGCTAAATAAATGTTCACAGAGACCAGGGCCTGGTAAGGTCCTCTGCACAAATTTACCAGTCTGCTTTCTGAATGGGAGGTGAGAGAGGTGCATGTTAGAAGACACGTGGCCAGGTATTTTCATAATACAAGATAACTTGAGGAGAAGACAATATGATGTGAGCATAAAAAAATGAAATAGCTCATATGCCTTGACCATCCCAGACATTCTATTCATAAGCAAATCTGTATTCTTTAACATTTTTTTTACAAGTGCTCTTACTTGGGTTATTTGCTAGTTTTACAATTGTAGAATATTTATATCCCCATGAAGATTCTGATACCTGCATATGAGCTAATTCTTTATATGCACCACATAGCTTTCCACCATGCCTCAGACTAAGAAACCTCGTCCATGCTCAATAAGTATGTTTATAGCTGAAGGAGGTCATCAGTTTCTTTCACAAGGTTAGGGCTATATTTATTTGCCATAAATAGTCTGACTCTAGTTTGGTTTGGTTTTTTAAATTAGTTACATTTAATGGAACAATATATTCTATCATAAGTCACCTGTTTTTAATGTGATGAGGCATTGTGATTTATCAGTTTCAAAAGGGAAAATGCTGACTGTTCTTTTGGCTTAGATATGTTGGCTGAAAATAAAGTGATTTAAAACAAAAACAAAGCTGCACATTGCTTTGCTAAACAAAACTCATATAAACAATTGATCTGATAGGGAAAACTTTTTTCATGGTCTTCGAAAGTAGGACTATCTAGGAATTTTACCATGAATACAATATAATCATGGTCAGCAGGCCCTGAAAAACACAAGAAGGAACCTGTAGGGATAATGTAAGGATTACGATGTGAAGAATATTGGATCTTTTCAAAATGACATGCTTTCAAAGTTATACACGCTAATCTTAGAAACCTGAACAAGATTTCTTTCAATAAATTTTTTGGTGGCTTAAATAAAAGATGCAGAGTTTATTTAACTTTTAAAAATACACATTTGAAAAAAAAAAAAAGAAAAATAATACACATTTGACTCAAATTTCTATTCTTCTCTATTGGTTAAAAATAAAAATGATTAGTAGAAGTCCATTGATTTAATGTAGATAATAAATGAAACTTAAGTCAATAAGAAAATGTGATCACTTGAATATTATATTAATATACAATATCATGAAGGAAAGAATCATTATGTAATTATTTAAATAAAATTTAAAAAGACATTCCTTTAGGGGTGGAGACTTTGGGGTCAGTTCTACTTCAAGGACATATGATTGGCACAAGTACAGAGGATCCTACACCGAGAAGGCGCCTGCTCTTGAGAAGGGCCACTCAGAAAACTGAAAACCCAAATCATGGCCATCAACCTGATGCCACCGCATGGTGACCTGGTAGGACAGGGTGACACAGCTCTTTACTAGAGTGGAAAGCCTTGTCTTTCTCTTTTGGATGGGCTGGTGGTTTCGAACCGTGAACCTTTCAGGTCATAGTCCAATGCATAACCCCTATGTCACCAGGGAGTGTACTCATAGAGGAAGAGCTCTGCAAGGTGTTTGGCTTAATGCCTTGCTGTCGCTGTCTGGCATTTTGAGCAATAGTCAAATAAGATGTCCACATTCTCATTTTGCAGTGGGCCCCACTCTGAACTCACTCCTGCCTGGGAGGACACATTTTTGAATAGTTCCCTCCAGCCTGTGTATAGTTATGGTTTTGAAGACCCTGCAGTTTTATTTTTGAGGCAGAGATGTATAAGACTTGTAGAGCACGGCCCTCATGAAACAAGTACACTTTGCCATCATCTTGTCTTTAAGGCCCTGGTAAGGAGAAGGAGGATTGGAGACTTTGCGATGTGTCAAGCATGATGGAGTAAGCACCAGGTCTGTAAATCAGAGGACTCTCACTCTCTCCTCTTCAATGAGCCCTTTAAAAATACTTAACGAGTGCACTGGTCCAGAGATGATTTCTTCCATTCCCAAGGGAAGTGCTTCAAGTTTATATTTAGACTCATTACAAACTTGAACATAGCTTATATTAAAATAAGAATAAGACAGAACACTGTCAGTTATCAAATAGCTTTTTTTTTTAAAGAATAGCTGCAACAAGGTATCTATATGAAGTCTGCTTATTGGACATAATCAGTCACCATATTTTGGTTTTCCAGCATTAAACACATCAAACAAGCAAACAAGAATCAAGCAAAATATGGCTGGAAAAAGGATCTCCTCAAATGGCTTTAGAGATTCAAATGGAAAACAGAAATTCTGTAAGCAGAAATAGTTGTCCATGTGCAACGTGGCGACTCCAATGCTAAGCCAATAATATGCACAATATCAATTTACTTGCCAATCTCACCCGATGCTGTACTAAAAAATTGCTAATTCATTAAGTCATGTTGCTCTAAAGACCAACTCCCATATCATACTGAGAAAATGAACTCTCTTATGGGGGTCACGGGGGGGGCGGGGGCAGGAAGATGAGGTAGACAAACAGCAGTAGACTGTGTTCCTTGTGTAGAAATATGGTCTTCCTTTATGAAAGGAAACCATTGAACGTTGTCAAAGGATGTCCAGCTCCTTCACATTTGGTCATTTAGCTTAATCCAGTGATAGGAGTCACAGAACCAAATGGAGGGGATAGGTGGGTGGGTATAACATAGGGCATTTTAAGGACATTGGAACTACTACATGATATTGTAATGCCAAATGAGTGACATTATCCATTTGTCAAAAGTCATTGAGCTGTTCAAGGAGTGATCCCTAATGTGACTTAAGTTCATCATAAATCATGTATCAATGTTAGTTCAGCAAATGTACCACACTGATGGGAGGTGTTGCCAATAAGCTAAAGAAGCTACAGGGTGACAGGGAGGCATGTGGAACGCTCTGTAGTTTCTGTGCTTCCCCCCCCCCTAACTCCCCCCCCCTGTAAACCTACAATTTCTATTTATAAAAAGCATATGTAAACAAACAAACCAAAAAAGAGAGGGTATTGAGATTATTTAGCGAACTGTTTGGGTTCAAGCCTAAAAGAGGGAGAGAGACCCTAGACCTCAAGGTTGAGAGACTGACAGCGGATCTGGAACAATCTGTGGGACACTGGTTATTTGCCTCATGGGGCTCCTCACTGCCATTGAATCAATCCCAACTCCTAGTGACTGTATAGGGAGAAGGCTGTGTGCACCGCACTATATACCTTTGTGATCAGCGGGGAGGGAGAACCACTCGCAATGTCTGGCTGGCTACAGCTTTGAGGGGAGCTGGAGGATAGGCTGGGAAAAGAGCCATTTCTGAGCAGTAGTTAATGTCCCCACAGGGCACGACCTCTTTATACAAAGAGGCTTGATTGAGGGTGGAAAAATGGATTTTGAAAGAAAATGAAATGTTCCCACCAACTTTTTGACACAAACTCATATTTCTGGAATTTAGTTTCCTTTTTGGTAGCTTCTCAGGTGTACGGAGTGAATCTTTTCTTGAAGCTCTCTAATTGGTCTTGGTGTGGGACATTGTATGCCATTGCAAACAAAGCCTGGAAAATCAATGGAAATTGCCAAGGGCGGGCAACAGTGAAGCACCTTGCTGAGCGAGTCATTTTCTGAGGAAGTGAATCTGGACCCTGGTGGATGTATTAGGCCATTATTCGTTTTTATCCTGTCCTTAGGGAGATGAGGCCATACGTCATCTTACCTTTAAAGATCTTTGAGCTAAATGTTTCTTCAGAAATTCCCATTTGTCATCTCCAAAAAGTTTTATAAGAAAGTTCAAAGATAATTCTACCTCACAAATCTGGTTACACCAGAGGATATACACTGGTCCAGATAGGAAATGGAAGCAGGGAATCCAGGGTGGATGATCCCTTCAGGACCAGTGGTGTGAGTGGCGATACTGGGAGGGTGGAAGAAGGGTGGTTTAGAAAGGGGGAAAGGATTAAGAGGATCTACACATAATCTCCTCCCTGGGGGACAGACAACAGAAAAGTGGGTGAAGGGAGACATCAGACAGTGCGAGATATGAAAAAATAATAATTTATAAATTATCAAGGGTTCATGAGGGAGGAGGGAGTGGGGAGGGAGGGGGAAAATGAGGAGCTGATGCCAGGGGCTTAGGTGGAGAGCAAATGTTTTGAGAATGGTGAGGGTAATGAATGTACAAATGTGCTTTACACAATGGATGTATGTATATATGGATTGTGATAAGAGTTGTACGAGCTCCTAAGAAAAAAATAATAATTAAAAAAAAGAAGGTTCAAAATGTTTCAGATGCCAATAACCACTTTCAAACTAGTGCCTTTCTGTTTCCATACTCACACTCAGGCTGAGTGGCCACCTTGATGGGCTGAGAACTCTCTCCAGGCCCCCATTCATTGTACGCCACCACTCGGAAGGTGTACACGGCTTCAGGCTTCAGGTTCCCCACAGTCAGCTGAAGGGACCCAGGCTGGGATGTATTCAATGCTCGCTCCCTGGAAACAAAAGTTGTTGGAAAGATTATTTGGAAATGAATGCTAGTAGCCAAACTTTCCATTTAAAGTACAAAAGTAGTGAGTGGGACACTCAAGTTGCTAGCTCATTTCGTTTGGACCTGGGTCATAATTCGAGACCTCTGAGACTCACTCTAGGAAATAAATGGACTAGAGTCAGAAAGACACATGTTGCAAAGATTCTGGGGAGTTCAAGTTTGAGTCATCCACCACGACACTTGCAAACTAAAGAAAGTCTTTGCTCTTGACACTTTACAATTTAGAATTCAAAACCCATGGCAAACAAAGAGCTATTAAAATAAGAAACATCTGGAATGTAGACAGGGGGAAGCGTTTTGTAAACATCCAGCTAATGACAGAAATCAAGGTCTCAATTATTGAACAAATCAGTCTTTGTCAGTATTGCCAACAAATGCATTTATGCATTATCCTCTCAGTGTCGAGAAAGGAAAACTGCAGATGCTAAGTGTTGCTTTGTACGGGAGCGCGCGCTGCTGTGGTTCCTTTCAGTGCAATTAGTGAAGGAAGAAGAGTCCTTTCTGCGGGAGAAGAAATCACAGTACACATATCTACTTGCTTCCTTGTTCTCCAGCCCACATTCATTTGGTTTTAATATGTTCACCAATTAAAAACTTCCCCAGCGGTTGCAAGCAAATGCATTGATCTTTTGATCACGGTGGGATTTACAGTATAAGAGCTGACGAGATTTATGACGAGGGATGGCTGGCACTGAAGACACGCGAAGGGCCATTCTGAAGGACACGCCTGACTCCAGACATGGGTAGCACCTGCATTTATTTTTAACATATGCTTGAGGGAACTTGGTGAAGAAAGGATCTTTTCTAAGCTACTCAACCATCTTTTTAAAAAGTTTCTGTTTCCAGATAATATCCCTTTAAAGTGGAAGTAGGTATCTATTTCAATAATGCCTCTTTCTTTCTTTTTATTGTTTAGCTTTTATTTCATTCTTAACTCGGTTTGCAGCTGGACGCCGAGGGGAACAAGGAAAGCAGGGAATCCTAAGAGCTGGAGTGAGACCACAAAGATGAACAGATCGTGCACCTTGGTCATAGAAGGGTGACTTCCCAAGCGACACAAGGAATGGCCTGGTGCTTACGATAAAACAGGAAACCCAGATCAACTGTCCTAGAGTTGTCCAGAGTCAACCATGGTGATCTTGGTGGTCTTTTCATTTCTGGAACCAAAACATTCCATGGCTTCTGCAATGGTCATGACTCCTTTCACCTGACCAAGGACCCCAGGCTTGCCACCCAACCTTTCCATCTTAGCGGTGAAGAAAACAAATGGGAACCGTCAGTCTTGGGCCTGGGAGTCATGCGCCAGGAGGAAGGCTAGGACTGCCTACTTCAGGATGAAGTTCTCCTCATCATCTTTCCCGCCATGGACGGACTTGCCACCCGTACCCTTACGATGTGTGAAGTCACCACCCTGGTGCATACACCCAGGAACAATTCTGTGAAAAGGGAGCCCTTATAACCAAATCCTTTCTCCCCGTGCTCAGAGTGCGGAAGCTTTCTGAAGTCTTTGGAACTTTGTCTGCAAAGGGCTGAGAAGTGACATTGCCCAAGGGCTCGCTGTCGGTGGCTATGCCGGAAACCACAGTAGGGTTGGCCCTGGCTGGACCACCACAGGACCAGACAGGACTGTTGATGCACATGGTGGCATCTGCAAAGCTCTTCTATTTCTCTCATTGTTTCTCTTCATTTTAGTCTTTCTCTTTTTCTTTCCCATCCTTCCTTTCCTCGCTCCCTTCTTCATTCCTTCCCTCTTTCATCTTTGGAATTCTTTCAAGTGAAATCTATTTTTCGGCCAATGTACATTAGGTTGCCAAAGAGAAAAACAAAACATCATTCCTGAGCTCGTGAAAATTAGTTCCATACATATACACACTAACAACATGACTGCATGTCAAAGAAGACTGGTTGACATACTTGTCAAGCAAAGCCAATTTGAATTCATGGGTTAGACTGTATTTGCCAGCCTCCCTGGTGATCGGGTAATGATTTGAACCAATGAAGGGAAAGGAAGTCATGTGTGGTGACTCCCAGCCTGGCCTAGAATAACCTCACAAGAGGAATTCTATACATTCTCTTTCCGCATCTGTGGGACAAACACTCGTGGGAAACTCTGGAGTCACAAGCTGTTTTTTTTTTTTTTTCCAAAGAAAAGATAAGCTTTATTATTCTATCTAATCCCCGATCTGATCCATGTTCCAGCCAATGGATGAGGGGGGTGGTGGTCAATGAAGGCCCCCCATGTGCCCCCCTCCCCGCTCCCCGGTACTTGTTTTTGAAGTCCCTAGGCATCTTGGAACCAGAGATTCATGGACTGACCGCGTTGCATGGCTTCTTCTTCCGTGTGCTCGAATGCTCCCTCCTGGCTTCCGTCCCGATGAGGCACTAAAGCCGTTCTGTGGCTGCACCAACAGCCCTCGCTCCAAGCCGCGCTGTGGTTTGTGTTTTTTTAATAGCCAGGGATCATGGGATGATTCTAGTGCCCCCCAAACACCTGAGAAGATCTGATCGACTTCTTCAAACATTTATCAAGTGCCCACCACCTGCTGGGCATCGGGGGGTGGGGTGGTGGTGGCGCTCTGGCAGTGTCTGCTGGTGCTGAGAAACACAACGATGCTGAAGAGGCCTTTCTCCCCAGGGGCCCGGGGGGCCGTTTGCTGGAGATTGCAGAACAAACTTCTGCTCTGCTTATACCACCTGGAGCAGGTAGGGACCCAGGGTGTTAGGACCACAGGGTGCGCTCTCCTGAAAGGCGCTGCCCGCCCAGAGCATCTCCTAGTGGGCGGTGGAGTTGGCTCCACAATCCACATAGTGGTGCGTCTCCAAGGAGCTCTGGGTCGTGTGGCCGATGTACGAGATTGTCACGGACGTTCTGGGGACGAGAGACCAGAGGGGACTGTTTGCAAGGAAAGAGGCAACAGAAACTGCCCATTCAGGCAACAGCCACCACCCAACGCTATGGTCAAGAAGGGGGTGCGGAACAGGGAGAGGGGAGTGTAACTGGTAACAAGTCAGTAGACACCAGCATGTACAAAGCACAGGGCAGCCTCCTCACCAGAGAGCTGTCTAATCTAACCTGCCAACAGCACTGAGGCCGAGAAACCCTGCTCTGAACCTTCCCATGATCACCTGCAGACTGGACCGTCCGAGTGCGGGGGATAACCCCCAGGGGCCGCTCCCTGGGCGCCTGTGCAGAGAATAACCAGGAGCAGGAGAGAACGCTTGGCCAAATGCCAGGTGTCCCATCCGAAGAAAGCTTTTCGTTCTCCTGGTCCCTGAGGTTTCCACATTCCCCCCCCACTCCCCACCCTTTAAAGTTTGTAAGAGTATGTTTGTAAGAGTATGTTTGTATGTTTGTAAGAGTTCTGGAGAAGGCCTTGGAGAAGAATTACCTGTCAATCAGGACCACGCTTTTTTATATTTCAGAGTCAGAAATAATCTATAGTTTTGAGCCATTATTACACAAAACTACAGCTGTAATGACTCTATAGAAGATAATTTGTACATTAGATTTGAGTCATTCGTTAGGAGTTCCACTACTGACCTAAAGGTTAGATGCTAAACCACCCTCCATTCCACAGAGGAGACATGTGGTGGTCTACTTCCCTAGAGATCACAGATCCTATAGGAAACCCTACAGGATCATTCTACTCTGTTCTATAGGGTCATTGTGAATCAGAAGGAACTTGGTGGCAAAGCGTTCTTTTTAATCTAGTAGGCCTTATTCATTCTAGCAATTAGCATTATGTGGGTTATAAGTTGGGCTGATTTTCCTCAAGTCAGCGGTTGGAAACCACCAGAAGCTCCGCAAGAGAAAGATGAGGCTCTCTATGACCCGCATACCGGCATAAGGAGTTACAATCCCGGACACCCACAGGGACATTCTACTCTGCCCTCTAGGGTTCAATGCCAGTGAGTTAATCTGTTTTGTTTTCTGTCTAGTACTAGTAGTAATTTTAAAAATTCATAAAATGCTTCATGAATTTGAGTAAAACCTGGTGTTTGGGGATCCAAGTCTAAATTATGTCATATAAAAATAATAGAATCTGAGAATTTCCTAGTAAGCTATGGTTGGTATGGTAAGAGAATTCACTAGCATTTCTATGCATTACAGAAAACACTGCTATATTCAATCCAACTAAAATGACTGAGGCTAGTGAGTTGTTTTAAAAATAAAATTCTTATAATTTAAACCCAGTACTTAATAACAGATTGCATGGTTTTCAGTAGCTCAATGAAATTAAATTAATTTCAATGAAATTAACATTGGAATGGTATTTTTGCACTATATTATTAATTTTCCTTTTGCAAAAGAACTTTCACAAGTATTTTCCAATATAGTCATTTGGTGTGGCCAAGGTGGCTTCATTAGTTTTATTGACAGGTTCATAAGTGAGATTCTCATATTTTTTTCAAGTCATTGAGTTTCACAGTTATTGAGTATCCAAGTCAAGAATGAAATTTGGGGCGGCATCTCCAAATGCGTCGATAATAAGGAGAAGAGGGGAAGCTATTTGGATCATGTACACTAAGGGTGAAAGACATGGTTCTGGAGCCGAGGAAGGGATGATGGGCTTCTGGAACCTCATGGGAAGATGCTTTTGCCTGGCCTCTGAGTGCATGGTACCTTTTCTGGACACGTAAGCAATATGGTTGTCATCCATGGCCAAATTAGCAAACTAACATTCTTAGGACTCTATAAGAAAGAGGAAGGAGACCAGGAGTCTTTGTTGGATGTGTGTTCTACTCTCCCTAACCTCAAGGTGATAGTTTAAAATCACCAGCCTTTCACAGGAGGAAGATGAGGCTCTTTTAAAGACTGACAGTCTCAGGAATCCTACATACAGCCCTTATGTG